GAAGACCTGAAGAAGCTAGCTGTTTTTCTTCTCTCTCTCTCCCGTGTTAAGTGGAATAATTTAGTGAGTAGAGTGTAAGGTAAGAAGGGTAAGTCAGTCGATGAGGTTGTGAAGCTACATCTATTGAGAGATGGCTATGAAACATGTATTGCGCATGCCCAGCCACCGCCTTCCTCAAAGGGTAATGTTAGCTGACATAGGATTAGGTTGGAGAAGAGTTAGAGTGTGGTCAAACCAAAACCTCGTACCAGTCCATAAAGTCCTTGACAGTTGGTTTGAGCCTGCCATTGTAGGAAGGCGTAGACTGCCTGGTTGAGGTCCTCGAGATTCTAAGAATCAATGGTTTAAGATTGTTGCATTGACTCTTTGTAATCTCCCAGATCCATTAAATCATCTGTGTTCTCTCCATGTTATTATTTTTTCTCCGGTGCTTATCTGCCTATTATAGTTCTTTTAGATTTCTTTTCTCTAATTTTGTGTGCTATATAGAATTTTGAAAACTTGAACTACTGTACTTCTTCTGTGCAAAGTTCTTTGTTGAAACTCAGTTGGCAAGTCGGTCAGCTCAGCAAACGTTTTCACTTTATTAACTCCATATCCTGGGCGACATATGATGAACATCAATTCCTTTATATCCTCCCACAGACTTCAATTTATCCTACTATTTGAAGATCATATAGACTGAATCTTAAAAATTGTTCCGACTTTTACTCATCTCTCATCTAATTTCGCTTCAATGTTTGAATACTGAATTGTTTAGTGTTGTACAATGGAAAAAAGCTGCTTAAGACGGATTAATATTTCTTAATCTTAAGTTTTAGATTACGCATTCCATCTACTTGTATTTCGCGAAGCTTTAGCAAACGTAGAATTACTAGAGTCACTTCCTTGGTACCCCCGATTTATTTCTGTGTTCAATTCAAAGAGATTTCAAAACATTATTTTAGCTGTGGTCCGGGGTTTGATCCTCGACTGACGCGCCCTCCTAAACCTCGCCTGGTCTGTAGTAAACCCGGTAAAGAGGGAAAAAGTTTGGCGTGTTTGGCTAGCAACCGCACTCCGTAAAAGGCAATACCACCCCTACCGAAGATCAAGTTTGAAACTTTATATTCCACTCCGAACGCAAAGGAATAATCATCCCTGTGTTGGTATCGGTGATATTTAGGACAAAACAATATTAGTATTATCCTACTTCTTCATATCATTCAACCAAAAACTATATATTTGCTTAGAAGGAAATCCAGTAACCGAGCGCAATTACATGTAAACCCCAAAAATCTGAAGCTTTTATTCAAATTTCGTTCGTTGTTCAGGCTTGATACAATATGAATTAGCCTTTCAAAATATTAATCCCTTAATTTATATATACCGCTTTGATTGATGCTATTTGGGTGTTAAGAGAATGTTAAAGTGAAGTAATTAAATCATAATAGCATGTATGGGTGACCGAGGAAGAGAAAAAGACTAAATAATAGTCGACAGTTGCTTGTATTTCAATTGTTTGACTTTCGTCATGAACCAACATGAGGTAGAGAGATCATTTGAAAAACAAGAGAGTACTAGAATACTGTTTCGTCCTATTTCTGGATTCTGCACCAGTGCGAACCCACGACTCCACCAGGCATCCAACCCTGGGTCCTTCAAGTTATGAGATCAACACGTTGACCGGTCGGTCGGTCGGTTTTCGACATAGAACTTTGCACTGATGTGTGGCAGTTCAAGTCGCCACAATCCATGTAGCACGCAAAGCAAGAGAAGGAAGTAGAAGAAATGCATAATATAGACAGTAAACAGAGGTGAGAGACAAAGGAATAGTAATAACGGAGAACAAAACAGTTTAATTGGAAATCATAAGTCACAAGGAGTGGATGCATCTGCGCCACTGAGAACGATTTTGAGCCATGTCACCAATTGTTTCCAATCATTGGTTTTTACCGTCCCGGGGACCCCAACCAGGAAGTCTACATCTTCCTACGTGGCTGGCTTGAACTAACTGTTGTGGATTTCATTGACTGTTGCCATGTTTTCGTTTGACCGCCGCTAGCTCTTTTCCAGCCTGACCCTATATCAGCTAACATTGCCCGTCAAGGAAGGCGATGACTACGCTAGCATGCGTAACACATGTCCTAACCATCTCAGTCGAAGTAATTTCACCGTTTCATCGACTGATTTCCCCTGCTTACCTAGCACTCGACGCCTAACCTCAATATTGCTCACCTTGTTATACGACTTCACACGGGAGATAGTACGCAGACACCTATGATGGAACACAGCTAATCTTTTCATGTCGTCTGCTCTCAATGGCCAGGTCTCACAGCCATAAAGGAGGACGGAGCGGACTGTTGAGCAGTACACACGCCCTTTGGTCGATAGTCGGATATCGCGTCTACGCCAGAGACGGCGAAAACTGGCGTGTGCGAACCTAACCCTCTGTATTCGTGCTGAGATTTCGTCGGAGATCAACCCGTTGGGGGCACACGTCGACCAAGATCGTTGACTATTCAGCCACTCGAGCTGGAGTCCAATTCGCGATATAGCTCTACCCTCACTTATGTTAGTTCATGATCCAAATCCTCCCACAAATCACGTAAAGTTAGCTGCTTGTATGTTGTTGGTGTTGGGAATTATCAGTGCTTTCTAACTTTTTACATTGATGAAACCAATATATATACCCTAGGGAAGAATGATTTACAAGCTTTTGTTGTGTAGTGGTAGTGTTTGTCCTACTTAGCATTTAATATAGAAAAAAAACCCAATCAGTTTAACCATACGCTAACTACGTGTGCATGAGTTTTGCCAACCCATGTATTATTTTGTATGTGCGTATGAAAAATGTGAGCAAATTTATAAAGTAAGTCCGTTAAACGTTACATATAGTTACAAAACTTAATTACCGAAGTTGTTTTATTATTCTAATTTGAATTTATTAGAGAAAAAAACGTTTTGCACCTAGAAAGATTTTTCTAGTATAAATTTCTGAGTCATACATAGAAGTATTGTTTTGCTAACACAAAGGCTTTTAAATGAGGTGTACACTTTTATTCTTACGTTAAATTGCTTCATAATGGAATGTAGTTTGATTGAACACTAGGAGTAACTAGTGTCGTGCAATTAGTCCTTCGTTTGCTGCACACTGAATTCTGTCAGTCAAATTTAGAATGTGGCTACTAAGCTAGGTGGTTCGCTATCACGGTGTACTCTGAATTATTAGGTGGTTAGAGATAATCGGCAGGAAGCCTTGCTTGACCTAGGTTTTGTGCTTGTTGGCACTAGTCAGCGATGCATATCTGCAATCCTGAAGGAACTCATGTACCTTCTGAGATTCGAACCTGCGTAATCCGATGCAGCAGTCTGAGACGTTACCACTATGCTATTGAGGCACGTCATTGACCTTCTGTAGGACTGTATCGGATACTTTGATTGGATACAAGGTAGTAACTAGCTGATATATGTGGATGGATAGATTGTCTGAACAGTGGATCAGTCAGTTGTCTCATAAATAGCTAAAGAGTCTACTGAACACCCTGAGCAACAATCTCCGCATGTTTGGCATGCGATTCGCCCCTATAAAATGTAAGATGATGCTGCAGGATTGGACTTCACCGACCCCTAGATTAGAAATAGGAAGTGAAGTGGTAGAACACGTTGACCGCTTCACTTACTTGGGAAGTACCATCAGCCCCAACGGGTTGATCTCCGACGAAATTTCAGCACGAATACAGAGGGCTAGGTTCGCATTCGCCAGTTTTCGCCGTCTCTGGCGTAGACGCGATATCCGACTATCGACCAAAGGGCGTGTGTACTGCTCAACAGTCCGCTCCGTCCTCCTTTATGGCTGTGAGACCTGGCCATTGAGAGCAGACGACATGAAAAGATTAGCTGTCTTCGATCATAGGTGTCTGCGTTCCATCTCCCGCGTGAAGTGGTATAATAAGGTGAGCAATATTGAGGTTAGGCGTCGAGTGCTAGGTAAGGCGGGGAAATCAATCGACGAGACTGTGAAATTACTTCGACTGAGATGGTTAGGACATGTGCTACGTATGCCTAGTCATCGCCTTCCTCGACGGGCAATGTTAGCTGATATAAGGTCAGGCTGGAAAAGAGCTAGCGGCGGTCAAACCAAAACATGGCACCAATCAATGAAATCCACAACAGTTAGTTCAAGCCAGCCACGTAGGAAGATGTAGACTTCCTGGTTGGGGCCCTCGGGATGGTAAAAACCAATGGTTGGAAACAATTGGTGACATGGCTCAAAATCGTTCTCAGTGGCGCAGATGCATCCACTCCTTGTGACTTATGATTTCCAATTAAACTGTTTTGTTCTCCGTTATTACTATTCCTTTGTCTCTCACCTCTGTTTACTGTCTATATTATGCATTTCTTCTACTTCCTTCTCTTGCTTTGCGTGCTACATGGATTGTGGCGACTTGAACTGCCGCACATCGGTGCAAAGTTCTATGTCGAAAACCGACTGACCGACCTAAATAGCTAAAGAGACAGTTGATGGATTATTCTTTCCCATACCCACATCATTGGCAATATATATATATATATAAATCATTGTTCTTTTTATAAACATAGATATACTTTCCGTTTCACCTCGTTGTGCTTTCTTGTTTAAGTAGCCAGCTGAAGATATCAGGTAGCTGTTGTAACGCTGTTGGCCTAAATAAGTGATATTTTTAATTACCACGTCTGTACAAGATTCGGCGTCGCCATCTATTCATTCTCAGCATTTGCTAAAATTTGACGATGTTTAAGAATGGTGATTAGCAGTGGAGTCTGGGATGTGCATTTCGTCATCTGAATCTGACTGCTAGTCACCATCCGTCTAATAACACCATGTAGATTATTTAGTTCATATAATCGTCCTACCTAGTGTTTTATCAATATCAACTAAAACTAAAAATAGTAAAGTTATTTCCATGCACTTAAACTATTGTTCTTTCTCTTTGTGTTTTTTCCCCTTTACGAACACGTTATCTTCATCATCATTACAGCAAGATGTTCGGTATAATTTACTAGCTGTTGTACCGGATCGTCGTGTAGCGCTTACAAAACGTATGCAAATGTTGAAACGCAATCGTCAACTTATTCAAGATATCCTAATTCGTATGTGTCAATACGATCATACATCTAAATCTTCTTCACATTGTTCCAACAACAACAACATCACTTCCTCCACTGTTACTGCTAACACTACGGCGACGACGACTTCAGTTGCTGATCATAATCATTTACATCATAAATTCAATGGTCATCATCATATTGAAGAGGAGTACAATTCAAATCATTCACAACATTGTATGAAACATGACTGTGTTGTTGCGACTAGTTCCTCATCATCCTCATCGTCATCATCATCATCATCATCATCATTGTCCGCGTCTGTAGAACTACGTGATTCTCCACATCAAGAAAAATCTTCTCTTACATGTATACATGATCACAATTGTAATAACATTAGTCGTAGTAGTAGTAACATTATAAATAATACTGATAAAAGCAAGTAAGTTTTATTTTCTGGTTATTTACAAAAAACATTTTATTGATTATTTTCTCAGTTTTCAAGGGATTTGATTGGCTTTAAAGATTGGTCACAATCATTGGAAACCCCGGTATACTACTGGACAGCTGATTCGTCCTAGTTTGAAAATTTATCTAGTTCTCATAAGTGAATCAATGCAGGATGAAGTTTGTGCCTGAAATTCTAGTGGGAAGTCGTGACCAGTGAGGTTATGAGGATACAGATATTCGCCGATGACATTAGTTGGCGGTTGCACCACATATTGAGAAACGTCAGAAGGTAGAATTCATGGGCCATTGGATTCCGTCGCAGTGGCTGAATGAATGGTTTGCGAGTTTGTCTTGTAACTTGAGGTCGCTGGGTTCGACCCCACAGGGTGGGGTGGGGTCATGGATGGGTGCCAATGAAGTGTCTTGAAGTAGGACGAAACGGTGACTGTTCAGTACTTTTCCTGGTTTTCAATAGTACTCTAACTGAAGTCAGTTCATGACCAATCTTTGAATTTCTTAATTGTTTTGGATGTTTTTTCTTTGAATGATGAAAAACAGTAACGTCTAGGGAGTCTTGAATGATGATGTTTTAAGCTATTAGCATCTCCTTGGAAATAGCATAAGCTGTTGTTAGGTTTCATCTTAGCACCTGAATCGATTATGATCATTCATGAATGGTGTATTGTTCTACAGTTACTTAGATGATCCGGATTTTATTTCCGGCTGATGCACTCCTGAACCTCGTCTAGTCGGTAGTAAGTCTGGAAGCAACGTAAGATTGAATGTATGACGCCCAGCAAGTTCCAATTCGTTTAAATAACACCATCGTTAGGGAAACTTCAAAGCTTGAAGCCCTGTATGATAAATAAACATTCATAGATGACTTTTAAGAAGAAAAAACCAATGTCGTAGTCTACTAGTGACATGATAGGTTATTTATTTAAATGGTAGCACTCTACGAATACCACATGCAATGTTTAATATTCACGAGAATTAGGTAGCTCATCCAGCTTATAGTTATTTTGAATGCTATTATTGATCTTTGTAATTATCTACTGCAAGGGCAATAATGACTGACTGGTTTCAACGTAGAACTTTGCATAGATGTGCAACAGTTCCAGTTGCCACACTACCACCTTGTAGCACACAAAGCAAGAGAAGAGAGTAAAGAGCGATTCAAAAGAGAGGTAATAAATAGAGATATGAGGCAACAAGAATAGTAATATGGAGGAACAATACAATTTTATTGGATATTATTGATCACGAAGAGGGAATGCATCTGTGCCAGCCATCAGTGAGAACGATTTTGAGCCATATCACCAATTGTCTCCAGTCTTCATTGGTTTTTACCATCCCGAGGACCCCAACCAGTCAGGAAGTCTACACGTCATTACGTGGCTGGCTGGCTTACACTAACTGTTGTGGATTTCATTGACTGATGAAGCCATTTTTTGGTTTGACAACTACTAGCTCTTTCTTTATCAACTTGATCCATCCTATGTCAGTCAGCTAGCATTGCCCGTCGGTCGAGGAAGGCGATGGCTAGTCGAGAATAATCATGAGTAACACATGTCGTAACCATCCGTCTCAGTCGGTATAACTTCACAACCTCGTCGATTGACTTTTCCTCCTTACATAGCACTGGACCGATGCCTTTCTCCAATATTGTTCACCTTATTATACCACCACCTAGCATGGGAGATAGAACTCAGACACCTATGATCAGGTAGAGCTAGCCGGCCTTTTCGTATCTTCCACTTTCAGTGGCCATGTCTAAAAGACATAGAGGAAGACGGGGAGACTACTGGGCTGTACACATTCCCTTTGGTCGATAACCAGCCGGATATCATGTCTACTAAGCCAGAGATTGAGTAAGTTGGCGTATGTCAGAGCCATACAAAACTTTAAGATTACAAACTAGTCAGTTTCACGCAGACATGATATTGTTTGTGTAGTTTTTTTTCTTCACTGTAAAATTGACATATTTTGAAGGGAGGTTTGTAACATTCATTTTATTGTGAAATTTATGCAAATCACTCATATATTAGAGAAATAGAGATAACTCGAGTGTCGTTTAACGGTTTAACTTATTGTGTTTGCCTTTCTTATCATTCTGTTTCAAAATATGATCACGCTTATCGACAAAGACAGAGGGAGATTATACTACTGAATTCACCATCTAGTAGGGATTGTGGAACTATGAGTCATTCATTTAAGCTTCTGATTTCCAACCGTTGAGTCATCGGTTCGAACATCGTCCTATCTATCGAGATTCAGACAGTCAGATATTATCATTAGCGCTCAGGTAACTGGTGTGGCTCATCTTCAACTGTATAAAAATGGAAGCGGTGATTGAGTAACATTTCCTAGTAAGGAACTGAGCGACTATACATTAGAAAACTGTTTTGTTTTCACTCCCAGCGTTCCGACTGGACCATAGAGCTTTAAGGTTTAAAATTTCACTAGCGCTCTCGCCTTTTTACCCTCTCGCCCAACCTTACCTCTTTTCCAGGCTTACTGTCAGCTAGTAAACTAGACGCGAGGTCTAGGATTGCGTCAGCCAGAAGTCGAACTCGAACTTCCCGGCTGGTGGTAGGGTAGGTGAGCATTCTACCACTGAACCAAAAATGCACGAACTGTACAGACAGTTCAATTATAAAATAGGGTACCAGAAGGGTTATTTAATAATAGTAGGTCGAGTTTTTTTCTCTCTAAAAATAGTCTTCTTTCGTCTGGAAGAATCTCAAGAATGAAGCAGACAATGTACTTTGAGTGGGCGTGACTACCTACGAGATGTAAGTGTAACGAGCTCCTTGTATTATGTATGACGTAGACATCTGAAAGACTAATGAAAATTTCACCTCTACACACATCACCATATTATGGTGGTGCTGTTTTGTGAGAATACGCACAAGAAAGCATATATATATATATTAAGCGTCCACAGACAACTGGTAGAATGTTGACTGACTGTCTGAGTTTCAACGTAGTACTTTGCATAGAAGTGCAACAGTTCAATTTGTCACATACTCTATATTTATCACACAAGTTAGAGAAAAGAGAGAAAAAAGCAATTCAAAGGAACTACACTATAATAAGCAGAAGTATACGAGAGAAAGAACAGTAATATAATATAGTGAAACATGAGGATTTAACCGGTCTGGGTAATTGCAAAAAGTGAATGCCTCTAAGCCATTAAACAACGACAGGTTACTTCCTGTTTTTACGTTCACTCCACTGATAATATTTCATCCAGTATTCGATGTGATTGTCATCATTCATATTATAACAACAGAAGACAAGGGCCAGGCAACAGACCGTTTACTTAGGAAATCTACAGATATTTATAGATTTTCATGTACATTATTATAGATTATTGTTAATGGAAAAACACAGTCTTCTGATTGGTGGTTTCTCGCTGAACGTTAATCTTTCATCTCTTTGTGGCCGTTTATTGAAGTTCAGATTATCTATCTGCAAATTGTATCCGTCTACGCAAAGTCTGCTGTGACTGGTTGTTGAATCAGTCTTTGTTCTTATTTTTCTCACGACCAATATTGAGGATGTAAACATTGACGTAAATTACTGTCTACCAATTTTGGCTAGCAGCCAGCTCTCACCACAATATGACCAGTTCCATTTACATTATTTCTTTTCTTCACAATACTCTTTAGTGCTTGTTCTAATTAATTGAAGTTTTGTATTCCTCATTGATTGATTATATTGGACCAACATGTTCAGTTTCAACTGACATATTGACTCATAATACGGGCGCTTCGACGATGTCTGATAATTAGCGTGTTGTTATTTGGTGGAAAGTAACTAGCAATACAATCCAGGATGCGCATTTCGTCAGCTGGATGTACCTCCATTTTTACGAGTTGATCACGGATTGATATCAGTTAGAGAACCACTGAAAACCAGGGAGTACTGGACAGCTGCTGTTTCATCCTAGTTTGGGAATCATCGGCAGTACGCACCCATTGCCAGGGTTCGAACCCAGAACCTTCTGGTTACAAGGCAAGCTGGCTCGTATACCATTCAGCCACTGGGACCTGGTTCAATGGCTCATGAATTCTGACCTCTACCGATTCGTGATTTAGCGCTACCGCTAACCAATATCGTCGGTGTGACATCCAATGTTTGGGGTCGCGTTAAATCACAAATTGGTAGAAGTTAGAATTCATGAGCCGTTGAATCGGGTCCCAGTGGCTGAATGGTATACGAGCTTGCCTTGTAACCGGAAAGTCCTGGGTTCGAACCCTGGCGGTGGGTGCGTACTGCCGATGATTCCCAAACTAGGATGGAGGAAATAGCTGTTCAGTACTCCATGGTTTTCAATGGTTCTCTAACTGATATCAATCCGTGATCAACTCGTAAAAACATAACTAACCCTTACAAACCGAACTATAGAAAATACCTCCATTTCTCGTGGTTCAAATAGCCTAGTGGAGATAATGCTTTTGTGTTTTTGAAACAGTGGGTTCTGGATTCAAGTCACTCACTGGGGTGGGATGGGGGAGTGCAAGTACATCTGATTGAAGAGTGCCAAATAGGACGAAATGCATCCCTACACATCCTGGAATCTACTGTTAGTGATCATCCACCAAACAATTCTCTAATACTTACTTTAATGGCTAATCCTGTACATAACAATTTTTAATATGCATTACTAGTCTGCATGGTAAGAGTAAATTATGCCGACCGAAGCGAGAGACTATTATTAGACTGACTTGAACAACAACCATTCAGGTGATCGATATTAAATACATTCTCACTGCGATCAGGGATTGTCAGCATATCTTCCATACAGTACTAGATTATTAGTAGATGTGAATGAAATGTACAACATAATTTGTGATTTTCATCCGTGTTTGCGTGTTTTTTTTTGTATACTGTAGACTCATTTAATTGGTTGTTTGAGGTCATTCGCGCCGTAGGTCACCATACTTTACTTTACTCTTGCCGTTTGCACTTTAATGTCTATATTAAATAGCAACAACAACAATAATATTAACAATAGTAATAATAATAGTGTTTTTCTACCTCTATGTAGATATGAATCACCTGATGATTTGGAGAATTCACATTCCATAAAAACTCGTTCAGTTACACGTGCTGCAAAACAAATAAATCATGATGAGTCAGAATTAATTAATAATAATAATAATAGATCAAATAATCAGAAACGAAATAATCTTTCTTCTTCGTCTTTATCATCATCATCCTCATCGTCTTCGTCTTCGTCTTCCTCCTCTTCGTCGACTTCTTCTATTACTCCTAATGATTATAACAATTGTTGTCGATTAAATCGTAAACGTCCATCTTTTACACTAAATGAACATGAAGATGATAATGATTCAGACTATTGGAATTATGAACATAAAAAGCCTCATCTATTAATCTCATCATCTTTATCACACAATAATCATATCACCAATAATGATAACAATAACAATAATAATAATAATAGTAATAATAATAATAACAATCAAAATGGATATAAATCACATTCTGAAGCACAATATCCATCGGATACAAATAAAATGAATAGACTGTTTGCTTCATTTATTTCAGATAATTCATCCGCCTTACCATTAACTACATTCACTACCACCCAGACAGCATCTAATAATAATAATAATACAATGAATAAACTATCTCATCATTCATCATTCACAGAAGATTGTAAAGATTCTAAAGAAGAATGCTTACAAGATATTTGTAATAGTACAACAAATGGTGGATTTGCTATTAAGACAGAAGAAGAAAATTGTACAGGTGATAGAAAGGATTCTAGTTCATATGGTAGTCAGATTACTGATGGAATAACAAAAGTAAGTTGCGGGTTTTTTTGCATATATGACACTTGCGACGTATAGTGTGAATAGCACTCTCTCTTATACTATTGCAGGATTGTTATTATTATCATTATTATTATTCCCTTGGGTTCCGAATGGAACATAAGGCTTCAGAAGCATATGTCCACTTCGCTCTGTTCTCTGGAGTTTTTTTATTTTAACTGGCTCCATGATTGTTCATAAGCTTTCATTTTTTTCCCCCCACACAATCTTCTCCATGTCAACTTGTCGTTTCTCATTGGGGTTCCACTCGAGAGGCTGACGTGAGGTGTCGCTCAACTGTGTGTACGATCCATTTTCATTTCATACTGCACATTTATTGGGCGATAGGTTGTTGGTAGAGTTCTTTCTAGTCGGCCATCTGATCTTCAGTTTTAATCCAGAAAAGACAGCTCTTGATGAAAGTCTGCAGCCACCTGTTGGAAGTGCTATTCGTGACGCGCACGTCAGGTCTCTGAACCACAGTATATTTAGTCGTTGTCTAACATTAGAGTTGAGAATTCGGACCTTGTTCCCTGTGCTGAGTGCAGCAGAACTGTGTACTAAATTTGAGATCGTCTCACAGAGGTCTTCTAGACAGCTTGAAACTTTTTGTTGAATGCTGTTAGTGACAATGCTCAAGAAATAATTTTTTCTGGTCAACGCATGAGGAACAGGAACCTGTGTCCTCAGTCGCATACACTAGCGAACACTTAAGTGAGTCCAACAACTAATTGTGCAGTATCATTCTGAAAGACTTTTACATTACCCTATTCTGGTTCTCTGTGTTTTGATTATGCCATAATGTTCCTTATTACTGGGTCTATATGTTTATTCTGAAGCTTTTTATCGAGATATTTCAATTCTTATTGTCCTCGCTCATTTTGTAAATTTTTTGTCGGTCTAAATTGTATTCACTCTTGGATTCTGTTCTTTTTCTTTACTACGCTATCGTAACAGTTATCCAGTGTACGGAAGTCGCAACATTTTACACAATTTCTCATCAGGAAGTTCAAGGACCGTTGGATCGGGTCCCAGTGGCTCAATGGTCTACGAGCTCGCCTTGTAACCAAACGGCCCTGGGTTCGAACCCCGGTGGGCGCGTACTGATGAAGAGTCCCAAACTAGGACGAAATAGCTGTCCAGTACTTTCAGGTTTTCCAGTGGTTCTCTAACTGATGTCATCTCATGATGAAATCCTCCATGCAATCAAACAAAAAATCCCTACAAAACCAATACTCATCAGAGTTATCTTAAGAGTGTATATTTATCAGAAGACGAAGCAAGGTCATGAATTCCTGATAAATTAGTGTTTCTTGTGCAAATAAAGTGTAATAGTAAAAATGAAGACTGCGGATTTGTGTAATGAAGATGACCCTGTTATACGTTTGATGGCAAATTTACCTCGAGAAATATTTACTTGAAGTCGTCGTATTATTGGGAAGATCATTTCATTTATTTTTTTTTGGTGAAACTGAGAATTACTCTAATATTTTAAGTTACTTCTATTTTGATGGTGTTCGTAAAATGTAATAGAAAGCATCTTTAATTCAAGGTGGGGTGTTATCTCAACTTTAATATTTGATCCTTATACTAGGTTAGGTAACTTCAACTCTTCGTACAAAGGTGATATATTTTCATGTTACATGCGAATATTACACAAAATAATATTTACTGTGTATTCTATATTTTCTTATGGTATTGTATTTCTGAAAGCATCTTTCTCGGGGTACGGAATTTGTCTTGTATGGTTCTCCAAGTGAACTTTGTTATTTTTTTGTTGTCATTTGAAAGTAATCCACCTTTTTAATAGGTACTTTAGGAGAACATTATCTTCTGTACTGGAGGGACTGTAACCCTTTAGACACCTCCAGTAATATTTGGAGTTTATTTAATCTCCACCAGTCATATTTATGTTAGTTCCTTTCTTTGCATTGATTTCTGCCAATTAAAATTGGGATTCACATTTACCGTTTTATTGACTTCATACTGTGCTATTATTGATAGTGATTAGAGTCATCGGAATACTATTTCCCTCTTCGGCTAATATGATTTTAGAGATTTCGAATTGGACAACAGATCATACTAATCATGCTTTCGTTACTCAACAACCTCATGCTTGTTAGTATACTGGGTAAAAATGACTGATGAGTGGTCTAAGGCGCTAGACTCAAGAGTGTAATCTTTTCGGTTTTCTAGTCCACTATGTGTGTGTGTGTGTGTGGGTTTGAATCCCACCTCCAACGCACGCTTGGAATTATACTTTTGGCGGCCTGATTAAATCACTGGGCTACCTAAATTTTATATTCATCAAAATCCATAGTTGTTGTTTTACTCCGTTTCAAATTGTTTTAATCTCCTAATTACCACAATGACTCGTCGTAATCTATACTCATGCATAATTTCAAATAAGTTTCTACCTACTTCTAGGAGTATTTTGAAGGAGGTTGAAGGAGAACTTTGTGGAGTAGCATTGGAGTGTATAGTTCAGATGGAACAATATTATTTTCAGATAACTAATTGTCGATTATTATGTTGTTTGAAGATTCTGCACAAGGAGTAAATACATTGCGACGAAACTTGCTGAAAATTCTGTATTGTGTATGAATGCTTTTTTTCAGAGTGAAGCGATTATTAATCATTATTATTCTTTGGTTACTCATCAATGCTTTGTGTAATGGGCTATAGCGTCACCTTTACTATTTCAGACTATGGGTGTGTGTGTGTGGGGGGGATTTGTCTGAAAGGTGAATGTTAATTAACAGGACGAAATCATGCAGTCAAGATTGCATATGTTGAGAAATGTGATGACTATTATCTGTGGGCTTGATAGCATGAAAATAATTGTGAAACTTAGAACCAAAATTCTTCACGACATCTCGTTTTACAATACGTATCACATCTATGTTATTATTTAATTGAATTTTAGACTTTCCCGTCGATTGGTTGGACCGAAGTGCTCGGTCTCAGGTTGACATGTCGACTTCTTGTGCGGATGCTTCGACGATGTCTGGGCATATAATTAGAATTTAATTGGTGGGTACTGGCTAGCAGTGGAATCCAGGATGTGCATTTCGTCCTATTTCGGACTCGTCAGCTGGATGTGCCTGCATTTCTCAGTGAGTGATGATATTCCCACCGAGGCTCGAACACAGTGCCCACGGTTTCAAACGCCAAAGCGTTATCCACTAGACCACTTGGTTCGAGCCTCAGTAGGAACATCATCACTCACTGGGGAATGCAGGCACATCCAGATGACGAGTCCCAAATAGGGCGAAATGCGCATCCCGGATTCCACTGCTAGTCACCATCCACCAATTATATATTATTATTATTGTAAACTACTCTGGTTAGAGCAGGATTTAAATCTAAGGTCCACTTATTTAGTTGAAAGCTGAATGTATAATCTAGTGGTTGTTCATTGTTTGGCAGCTGTTGGAAGGAAATTTCATTCAATGGTGTTAACATTGAGAAATGAATATCTTGGCCAGAAAGCTGTTTCCTCACTACAAAATCAGACAATTAGATGTTGTTTTCCACGAGAACTAAATACTGAGGTTTTTTAAAATCACAATCATATTCAGTTTCCTATATCTCATCCGTTTGGGTACTTTCAATTTCTAACAGAATATATTTGGTAGTCTTATCTTTTTCTTCTGAAGGAATGGGTGAGGATCTATATAATGACACCGATGCAATTATATCTCCTTGTAGTCGTTACCTATGTATCCAGTGGGTGTTCTCACACAGAAGTTGTACGTAACCGGTATTCCTATAAAAAATCTGAGTTTTACTTATGTGATAGTCACATTTTAGTGATACTTTGAGTATCTTCTCGGATAGTATAACTTTCAGCTATTCAACGATTAATCGAAGTTCATAAACAGCTTAAGGTATGTAAATCGGGTGGGTTTTAGAGATGCGTAAAGATGTTTTTTTGCATATCTTCAATAATCGATACATTATGACATCCAGGGTACACTGTTAGTATTATTATTATTATTGATTTAGTATACTCAAGCTCTATCAAAACACGAATTCCTTGGGATTGTCATTGCTGAAAAGTTGGGAATATTTTCGGAGTGCTTTTAACATTTGTTAAATATTTTAGTAATCTAACCGATCGATATTTTCATATATTCAAAGTTTCATTACACCAATTTCCTTTTTGAAAGCGAAACATAAATGTATCAAAAGGGGCCTGCTTGAAGTAAATAATTTTCATTTGTTTTTAAGTCAATTTTGATTTCCACGTTGATTGATTGAACCAAAATATCCGGCATCTGTTAACATGTCGACTCCTAGTACGGGACACTTCGACGATTTCTGAGGATTAACGTGAAGTAATTTGATGTGAATGGGGTGACTAACGATGGAATCCAGGATATATGCATTCCGTCGTTTTTGCGTTTGAAAGGATGGGTATTGGGTTCATGTCTCAGTGGATAACACTATCACTCACTGCTGAATGCAGGTATATCCAGTTGACGAGTCCGTGATAGGGCGAAGTGTGTGGGCATCCTGAAATCCACTGCTAGTCGCCATCCACCAAATTAAGAAATTTCAGTTTAGTCTTCATGATTTTAGGATCTGATTGACCTCACCTTACTTTCTTTGTTGTGCTTCTTCAAAGTATAAACAATAAATATGAATTTAAGATTAAGGATCACAAACGTCTTTACAGACTTGATCCTTCTTCTCTTTAAATAATTGGAAATGATTAAAAGATAATTTTCATTATAGCCTGGCACAAAGAGGAAATCAATAAATGTCAATGAGCATTGAGTGTCTACCTCGTCTTAACTCACAACTTTAGTATTGTCCCACCACTGATTCCACACTGAAATATGTTCAGGACCTTGACATCATATAATGGTACAGATTTGTAGCTCAGGTGGATGATTTTGGTGTAGTTGTGTTCTCTGAGCTGAATGGTTTAGTTGCAAAGCTTTCATTACCTGACTAGACAATATTCTCAAGTGCGTACTTCGATTTGAAGTAAGCGTCTTCCATAATGTTTGACCAGTTTTCATCCTATCGGGTAGTTGATCGGTGGTCCGTACCTGACACTGGGTGACAGGATTTGATGACGAAGGCAATCATGGAAAAAGAATAATTGTTCTCTGATGGATCCTTTTCACCAATGAGAAGAGTATCCCACTCATAGGATTTAGATATACTGGTGGTCGAATTGTGAAGTATGCACTGAGGATGTTTGTTGTCTAGTGAGACAATAAAAGCTTCTCTACTAAACCATTCAGCTGAGACAACACAACTACTCGAAAACCTCGACATCATATTATGAACATGTTGTCAGTGATCCACATTTTTAAACTTCATTCGATTCATGTTTGGGCTTTATCCCTACCTAATTTCGTTAGTGTGAATCTGTCTTCACTAGTAATTTAGTTAACATAATGAGTTACATCTCTCTGTTTACAAACGTGAAGATATCCATTTTTTATATCACGTGTTAGTGAGCATTGAGTTGTGTTTTTCTGTTCTAATGTTTAAATCGAAAACAATTTGTTCACAGATAAATATTATTTTTTTTTTTCAAGAACTTAAATCATCAATGTAATTGGTGAAAAAAATATTTTGACGATATTTACTTTTGGACTGGATCTATTGAACTTTGTGTTGCATCGACAATTTAAAATTTTTCGATTAGTTTGGCTGTTGCTAATTGGTCTAGGCCCTTGAATTCCAACCAGTCGGTCAGGGTTCGAACTCCACTGCATCTGCCGAGGTTCAAACAGCTAGGTAGTATTGTAACAACAGAAGACAAGGGCCAGGCAACAGATCGTTTATTTAGGAAATCAACAGATATTTATAGATTTTCATGTACATTATTATAGATTATTGTTAGCAGAAAAACACAGTCTTCTGATTGGTTGTTTCTCACTGAATGTTAATCTTTCATCTCTTTGTGGCTGTTTCTTGAATGTCAAATCATCTAAATGCTAACTGTATCCGCCTACGCAAAGTCTTTGTTCTTATTTTTCTCACTACCAATATTGGGGAAATAAACATTGACGTAAATTACTGTCTACCAACTTTAGCTAGCAGCCAACTCTCACCACAGTATCACTATCCCCTATACAATAGGTGTGGTTCAATGCGCTCCTACTACATGGAATTCCAGTTGGTTGTTGAGTAACATTTCTTTTTATTTTCTTTCTTTCCAACCTTCAGATCTCTTGAAAGTTCGTAGTAATACTAATCATTTTCTTAGTTAGTCAGTTGTCTACAAGGCTTTTATTTGTCTCTCAGTTTACCACTTATAGACACTGATTCATTTTTTCTGGAGTTGTTTTCGACCACTGGATAAAGCTTTACATCATCTGACAGAAGAAATAGCTAGGCTATTCACCAGCAACGCCAAGAGGAAAGCCTAATATACGTTACATATTCAAAGTAAAACGCTCAGATAAACATAGTTATTTTAGCAGGCAACTTCAATGCCCAAGTAGGGAAGTTGTGCCAGACTGAGAAGTATGTAGGTGGTACGTACGGAGTCCTCTACCGAAGTAACAACAACGGTGGTCGTCTTCTACAATTCTATTCAGATAATCATCTGTTCCTTGTCAGCACTAACTTTAGGCACAAAGAGAGATTGTGTAACCTGGCGACCTTCATCACCAAATCAACGATGGACTTCAAACGGACCATATAGCCATAGGGTATCGTTGGCGAGGGTCAGTAAAAGACTTCCGCTCCTATTGGAACACGTGTGTAGACTCCGATCACGCTCTGGTCCGCGCACGTTTATGCTTACGATATAAGAAATTCCCCAACTAGTTTGAAACTCTGAGTCCCTATTTAAGGAAGAAATAGCGAAACGACTATCTGAGGTCGACAACAGGACTTCCCCTGAGGAAGCCTGACACAATATACAGTTAGCCGTAGACACAGCTGTAAAGGCAGTTAATGACATAAAACCAAAAGTTAGTAAGATCCAGCGGATTTCTACTACCTCATCCGAACTGATTAAAGCAAGAAGACTGATTCCGGTGAGCTCCAAATATGATGAAGAGCGAAAGGTACTTAAACGCAAACTAACAAGCAGCCTTCGTAACGACTATGAACAGTGGTGGGCGACAAAAGCGAAAGAGATGGAAAATGCACCAGCGATGGGTAACATCAGACAACTATTTAGGCTTATCAGGGAAACAGGTGTTAAAAGGCAAATGATAAGTGAAACAATCTCTGAGGAAAATGGCACCATAATTAGCTCCCAGGATAGATGACTGGAACGCTGGAAGGAACATTTTTAGGAGCAATTTAATTGACCCACAGTCACGCCCAACTTACCGAACATCCAACACCTCCCTGAATGGGATATAAACACAGGTCCTCCGTCACTAACTGAGGTTACTAAGGCTGTCACTAGTCTGAAACGAGGCTAGACAGCAGGACCTGATGGAATGACTCCAGAGGTGTTTAAGGATGATGGAGACAGTTTACTATCTGCGTTAACTAAGGTATTAGGCAGCGTCTGGGAATCAGAGGAAGTCCCGTCGGATTGGTGTAAGTCATTAATTGTCCCGATATACAAGAAGGGAGACAAGTCTTCCTGTGACAATCACAGGGGATTAGGTTGACCAATATGGTATCTAAACTTCTAGGCTCAATAATAATGTATAGACTAGATGGTACTTGGGAGGAAAAATACGAGAAAATCAGGCAGACTTTAGACGAGGAAGAGTGTGTATTGACCATATCCTAAGTCTTCGACAGATTGTGGAATGGAGCATGGGTATACTTCCCGGCGTCCAACAATCGTCATGTTTTTTGACCTGAAGGCGGCATTCGATTCCGTCGACCGAGAGGCACTATGGCGGTGTTTGGTTGTGAAGGGAATGACGAGAAAATACGTCGCACTGATCAAGGCACTCTACTCGAACTCATACAGTCGTCAGCCAGGTGAGAGCCTACGGTGAGTTGTCATCGCCATTCTTTTTTTACCAGCAATACGAATAGACATAGCTGGGCAATCCCACTTTCCTCCTTGACTTTGCCACGGATGACATCTTGAAGTATTTGCGTAATGTAGGAGGCACAGATTTGATAGCCAAAGAAACAGCATTCGACGACTACATATTCGAATTATACTTAGCCAGTTGGTTGTCAGTATCTGTTAATATGATGCCCTCTGTGTGTGCCTTCCAAGTGCAGATCATTGCTGCATCCAATCATATGCAAACCTTTTAGAAGTTCTCAGAAAGTTTGTTTATCTGGGTATTTGTGTTATTTTTAATCACATATTGAAAGTTGGCGCAGGATACGCCAACCTCAATAATCTCCGGAGCCGTTATAGTGTTAATTTAACCTTCATAGTCTGAATTTACTAGTCTTCAGTTTATGTAGTCGAGCTGTACGACTGTGAAATATGGCCTTTCCTTGCTAAGGTTGTACGACAGCTTTGAGTTTCCTATCGTCGCTGTCCATGTACGATTGCTTCCACCTACTGGTGATGCCATATCCTATGGAATGTGTTTGGACATACTGGCGATTGTCTCTCCTTAAGTGAAACCATTTAGAACCACCAGCATGCTACAAAAAATCATCCCAGTGGCCTCTGTACCGTTTACTGTTTGCTAGCTCTGGAAATGGTTGGTCAGCGCGTGATGTAGTGATATTATGGCATGAAAGATAGTTGTTTTGTTTCCCGCCAAATGCAAAATGATGTTACAGGATTGGACTACACCGACTCCTAGATTACAAATAGGAAGTGAAGTGGTAGAGCACGTTGACCGCTTCACTTACTTGGGAAGTACCATCAGCCCCAACGGGTTGATCTCTGACGAAATCTCAGCACGAATACAGAGGGCTAGTTTCGCATATGCCAGTTTACGCCGTCTCTGGCGTAGACGTGATATCCGACTATCGACCAAAGGGCGTGTGTACTGCTCAGTAGCCCGCTCCGTCCTCCTTTATAACTGTGAGACCTGGCCATTGAGAGTGGGAGGCATGGAAAGATTCGCTGTCTTTGATCATAGGTGCCTGCGCTCTATCTCCCGTGTGAAGTGGTGTAATACGGTGAGCAATATTGAGGTTAGGCGTCGAGTGCTAGGTAAGGCGGGGAAATCAATCGACGAGACTGTGAAATTACATCGACTGAGATGGTTAGGACATGTGTTACGTATGCCTAGTCATCGGCTTCCTCGACAAAGGGCAATGTTAGCTGAAATAAGGTCAGACTGGAAAGGAGCTAGCGGCGGTCAAACCAAAACATGGTACCAGTCAATGAAATCTACAACAGTTAGTTCAAGCCAGCCACGTAGGAAGGTGTGGACTTCCTGGTTGTGGTCCTCGGGACGGTAAACACCAATGAAGGCTGGAGACAATTGTTGAAATGGCTGAAAATCGTTCTCACTGATGGCTGGCACAGATGCATCCACTCCTTGTGACTTATGATTTCCAATGAAACTATATTGTTCTTTGATATTATTATTCTTTTTGCCTTATATTTCTGTTTACTGTCTCTATTATGCATTTCTTCTACTTTCTTCTTTTGCTTTGTGTGCTACATGGGGTGTGGCGAATTGAACTGCCGCACATATGTGCAAAGTTCTATGTCGAAAACAGACAGAGATAGACATATATATATATATATATATATATATTGTTTTAAGTGTTTCAGAGATCCGAAAGTTATTTCACTCACCTTATCACTTTGTTTTCCTTTTTTGCTTTATTTAGTCAATGTTCAGGAAGGCGTCTTTCATATTGATTGTTTTTTTTTAATTATTACCTTCTTAGGTATCATCACCATCATCATCCGCCTGTTGGACAGCAGATGTAAAATCTTCAAGGGTATTGATAAATGAATCCACGTTCAACAACCGGTCAGAAACATTTTCGCATAGACAAGGTACTCCACCGAAAGAACTTACAAAACCTTTGACTATTGAAACAAAGTTATGGTGTGATTCTGTCGAGCAGTTTAATGCAGAAGGCTCAGCAATTCGTACAAATGAAATGTATCCTACCGGTTCATCAGTTAACTCATCTGGTGAACTGCGGCGGCGGTGGTGGTGGTGGTTCTAGTGCTGTTTTTGACTCTCGGCCTCAAACACGAGCACTGACTAGAGCCTCTATGAAACAAAACTCTCATATCTCTACACCTGTATCATCAAATGAAGAAGGAATTTCTAATAATAATAAAATATCATCAGATGGTGTACAGTTGAATAAATCCGATCGAATGCATTATGATTGCGATGGCTTGAATTCATCCAATGCATACAATGCTGATGTGTTATCCAAGGTGAATTCCTCAACTGAAAATACTTCTATTGATTGTAAGTGAATTTGTTATGCCTAGTATAATGCATTGTATTTTTCACATACATATATATATAGACAAATAACTCATTTGGCCTACTGATATTGATTGTTGTTGTTGTTTTCTTAGCTAGCTAGGTAGGTTGTTTATAGCTTAAGTATTCCAGAACAGTCAATCAAGTATATTGTAGAACTGAAGAAAAATGAATAATATTGATTTGTGTTTTCATTTTTACTCTCTAAGAGCTGAGGGTATGAAACGCATCAGTGTTTTACGTCGTGAATACGAATAGCGCTGTACTTTTTGGAGGATTGGATAGTCAGGTGATAGTGTGTATTACTATTATTATTATTCCCTTGGATTCTAAGTGGAAAAATAGGACTTCAATAACACATCATCACCATTTCATCCTGTTCCCTGCAGTCCTGTTCTGCTGGCTCCACGATTGCCCATAGGCGTTCACTTACTACTCTTACAATCTCCTCCAGTCACCCATCGGATGGACAACTCTTTTGTTCATTTGGGTTCTACTCAATGGCTTCGGGTATGATGTCATTCAACGACCTCTTCAATGCATGTACGATCCATCTCCACTTCTTTCTGTGTATTTGTTGGATGGTGGGTTGTTGGTTGGTTGGTCCACCTCCCCGAGCACCATTAGTACCCATGCTAACCGAAGCTCCAAATCCCCAAGTGGGGATAGATGTTATGGGGCCAATCACAGCATCGAGACACGGTAACCGCTGCATACTCATCATCGTTGATTACTTCACAAAGTGGTATGAAGCTGTCCCCTTGCAACGACAGGATGCCCTGACGATTGGTCACGCTTTCATCGATACTTAGGTGTTTCACTTTGGCACCTCCGTTTATCTACACTCCGATCAGGGCGCTGCTTTCGAGAGTCATCTTATCGCGCACATCTGCAATACTTTTAGCATTCGGAAAGCGCATAGTACGACTACTTTGGTGGTGTAGTGCAAACAGTGTGTTGCAACGGAATATTATTCTCACATATTCCCACGGTTCAATACAGCATTAACAACAGAACACGATATATCTGTGTGAACATTCTGTTTGTTTCTAGAGTGAGAATATTATGTCCACAGTTCAATACTGCATTTTATCATTCGTTTAATGTGAACTAAAATCACACGCTCAGTGATTATTTCCATAATATTAAGCTATATATATACATATATATAAATGTGGCACTCCCCCCCTAAGGAAAATTGAGGAAAGATATCTCATGGACGTCTTCCAAAAGAATGGATATCCACGGAATTTCATCAAAAGGCGTCTACCCCCAAGCCAACCTACCAAATCAATGGCCCCCAAGGAAATCGCCATTTTTTTTATTCCTTCACGTTCCCAGTGGAACATAGGGCTTCAAGCTAGAGGCTTGAAGTTTCTTCAGCAGTGTTTATTTTTACAGGATGAGATTGCTAGCCTCATGCCCAACCTTTCCCCCTTACCAGCTTTATTTCTGGCTTAGCGAGGTGAAAGAGTGCGTCGGCCGGGGATTGAACCCCGGACCATGTGCATGGTCGGCGACCATCCTAACCACTATGCCACCGACGCATAGTGGAGTTATACTCTACCATAATGGAGTTATACTCTACCACAATGCCCGAAATTTATCCTTATATCAATGATGCATGGGAAAAATATTAGAAAAAATTATTCTTTGCTAGAATCGTAGAGACGAAATGATGCGGGTTGGTGAAAGCCTTCGGAAAACCAGTTAGCCGATTTGTTTGCTTTCGATAAAAGCAAAAATCAGCGCACAGCGTGGAATACTGGAAGGAAATCGAGATGGATGTGGCACACTCTGAGGAGACAGTTGGGTGACATCACACGCCAGGTGCCCAAATGGAACCTGATTGAGGAGCAATTTGGGCATCTGACAGTGAATGGAGGAGATCGTGTGAGGAGGAGATAAAAGCTTATGGAAAATCTTGGTGCCAGGTAAAGATGATTTCATAGAAAAAGATGAAATGGCGATGTGCTATCGAAGCCATACATTCCACTTAGAACCCAAGGAAATATTAATAATAAAAAGTAACCTGAGGATAATGAAATATATGTGTATGCTTGACAACCACTTGCGATTCCCTGTTGTCGGCAATGGGTCACACCTGTTATGTGAAGGCTAGTGATACTACCTGGCTGCCTAAACCTGGGTGTAGGAGGAGCGTGGTTCAAACCCGTGTCGAACGTCTAGGCCAATGAACCACGGCTCCACAAGAATTTAAGATTTACTCATCAAATTCACCTTATCCGCCTGATCTAAATTATCGAAGGGAAGATGAAGAGACCTATACACTCAGTGAAAAAAAGAAAGTGTTTTGTAGAACTGTATGTAAACATAAGGATCTTTCCTAAACAAAAGAAAATGAATAAATCATAAGAATGAGTCATTGGAAAAAGAGCATCTTTAAAACTGGTAAAGCTCACGGAATCCTTCGAAGTGAAGACAGGAGTAAGACAGGGTTGCCTACTATCGCCAATGATTTTCCTGATTGCAGTAGATTGGAGAATGCGACAAACAGCGGGCAATGAGGAAACAGGCATAAAATGGACTCACACAAAGAACTTGGAGGATGTGGACTTCGCCGATGATATATGTCTGATTTCCCACAAACTGGAAGATATGCAAGTGAAAAGTAACAAGTTGGCAGAAGAAGCATCAAAGATAGGATTCCAGGTGAACATAGAGAAAACGGAGGTGATGAAGATTCCTGGCCAACACCAACAGCCACAGCAACAACAACAGACAGCAATCAGCATAAATGGAAGGAACCTGAAAGAAACTACCTCCTTTACCTACTTGGGAAGCATTGTTTCAACTACAGGCGGAACTGACGAGGATATCAAAGCAAGGATCGGGAAAGCAAGGCAAGCTTTCATTACTCTCAAGTCTGTGTGGAGGTCAACAGCACTCAGCATCGAAAATAAGATCCGGATTTTCAACTCCAATGTGAAGTCAGTGCAACTCACTGTACGGATCAGAGACTTGGCGCGTCATAAAGAGCATCTCAAACAAACTACAGACCTTCATTAACAGATGTCTTCGCTCAATACTCAAGATCAGATGGCCAGAAAGGATCAGCAACAGAGATCTCTGGGAGCGAACCAACACAGCAGGAACCGATTGTGAAACAAATAGGCAGGAAGAAATGGAGATGGATTGGCCATACTCTGAGGAAACAAACCATGAAGTGACATCACTAGACAAGCCATTGGTCGAGTGGAACCCGAAAGGGAAGCGACGAGTTGGTCATCCCAGAGTGACCTGTAGGAGGTCATGTGAAGAGGAGATGAAAGCATGTGGGCAGACTTGGAACCAGGTGAAAACTCTAGCAGAGAACCGAACGCAATGGAGACGCACGGCTGAAGCCCTATGTTCCTCTAGGAACTAAAGGAAATAATAATATAATAATAATAAAACTGGTAAAAAGTGAATTTTATTAAAACGTAAGGCAGAAATTGGTGGAAAAGTGAAAAAAGGACATGTGATCAGAAATTACGTAGGTCAATTGCTAGTTCTTGGCTTTTTATCTGAAATCTGTGGTCATTGGAAGCATAAGCATATTTGAATACACCTGTACTAAGCGGTCCACTACTACTACTACTACTACTACTACTAAACATCGATTATGGATGCAATCATGATAAACAAACGTTACTTCAATTTTGAAGCTATACTGATTTCAACTTCAGTCACTGGTTGCTTAATTTACTACTCATCTGTGACGTCAGATAGGACAAGTTTATCACTGTCAATAATGTCAAAATCTAGAGAAATACAGTTTGATAGAAGTCTTGGTCGAAATATTTTTTTTCAAGTTATTGGTTTTGTAGGGAATTTGGTTTGATTGGTTGGAGGATTTCATCATGAGCTGACACCAGTTAGAGAACCATTGGAAAATCACCTGGGAGTACTGGACAGCCAGTTGTTTTGTCCTAGCCCTTTCGAACTTTTCATCAGTACGCACCCACCGGTCTACGAGCTCGCCTTGTAACGAGAAGGTCCTGGGTTCGAACTCCGATGGGTGCATACTGATGAAGAGTCCCAAACTAGGATGAAACAGCTGGCTGTCCAGTACTCCCAGGTGGTTTTCCAATGGTTCTCTAACTGATGTCAGCTCATGATGAAATCCTCCAACGAAATATTATTCATTTAAATTGACACTAATAGATTAAGACAAAACGTGTAACTTGATGTTGATACTGGTCAGAGATAGGCTGAGGAATAAGTGAGGCGGCTAACCACTATCTTCATATAGTCCTTCTGTAATCAACAGAGTCGCCTTTATCACTTAGACCTTCTTGTAAACATAGGCATCTGTAGCATGCATCCACGTCATGGGGTGACATAAGTTTATCTGTTCAGGAATTCTGCTTCATTTCGCGTAAATACTGTATATAAACTATATTCCATGAGGACATATAGAACAGATGAGAATGTATCATTCTGTCTGTACATAATTCAATTCTTAAGATTCGCCGATTTTCTCTGACTCCTAGTAGTTGTTATTTGTTCTTTTCTTATTGACACATGTTTTTATAGTTCTCTGGGTTCCGAATGTTACATAGGACTTTGGGCTTTAAACTTTTACAGTAGCTGTGGTATTATTTTTGTGCAGCGGTGTTGTGTTAGCCTCACATCCAACCTTCCCTCTTTTCCTAGTTTACTATTGGCTAATAAACTAGGTGAGGCTTAAGAGTGCGCGTTGGCCGAAGATCGAACCTGCGGACCATGTACAGGGTTGGCGAATATTTTTCCATTTGAACCATCGATTCACATTCATATTTCTTAATGCTTACTAATTAATGATGGCTGACTTTATGCTTGCTTATTAATAAGTGAGAATTTTATAGAGAATAACAAAACCTATTCACGATAATAAAATAACGAGTGATTTCTATGATCATTATTTATAAGGAAACTTCTCAATGAATGAAGGGATGAATGGGAAAGTATTAGATGAATGACTAATGTAAAACATTAGTATAATACAAACATATCGAGGTAGAGTGTATATCTGTTGTTTATGATTGGGAATAATCTTGTTTTTATTAGATACTTGGAATCAGTCGGCAGGAATTGTTGTCTGGCGACCATACCACGTTGAAAGCACCGGTTCTCGTCCGATCACAGGAGTTAAGCAACGTTGAGCCCGGTTAATACTTGGATGGGTGACCGGCTGGGAATACCGGGTGTTGCCGGCTTTGTGTGCGTCGGTGGCACAGCGGTTATGACTCTCGCCGATCGTGCACATGGTCCGGGGTTCGATCCCCTGCCGACGCACACCTGATATCTATGGTCGGCCTGCAAAATCCGGGCTACTGATATCACATGCTGAAAATTCCATACCTGTACCAAAAAATACGGTGTGGAATCAAGCTGTAATCAAAAATATAAAATATAGGTTGCGTGCTTCTTAGTTTATCTGCAACCTCAAAGGAAACTGATCTCCTCTCTGAGGTCCACCAAACATGCCTCATCCAACGCTGTAGTCAGAGACGTTGCCGTGAGTGTGAGCTCCTGTAGGACTGTAATGGATACATTGGTTGGTCACTTGAGAGAGTAACCCACTTCATAGTGAGCCACTTTGGCTTTATATGACCACCACACTCTTCACCAATGCCAAGGACACTGAACTCATGAGTTTAATGAGAGCTTAATGAATGGTCGATTTGCATCTCGCTAGTCAGATATAGATGCCAGTAGGTATAACATGGTTAGAATTTGGTACCTATTCATAGAAAATTACAATCTCTTTTGTATATCTTGAAATATATCTATTTAAATTGATGGCTGAGAATATTAGTCATTCCTTATGCAGCTATTATAGATATGATTGCATATTATTGATATATTATATTGATTAGAGCTAGAAAACGCATCATGGATTAGAAAAAAATGCTTTAGGCGAACAGTATAGAGACAGACTTATAGTAATTACATATTTCTTTTTAAGTGTCTGATAATAAATAGGTAGGAGGCTTTTATAGCTTGATGAGAGAAAAAATAAGCAATAATTATTTGAATTAATATGTTGAAGCATAAACGTAGCTGATGATTCTTTTTTTTGTGATAACAAATGAAAGTGACAAAATTACGTGTTTATTTGATTGATTCGTTTTTCGTTGTTGTTGTTGTTGCTGTTATGATCATATTTGTGAAGGACTCCGGGTTTGTTAAGATGTGAAAAAGAAACATACCTTCTTCTTTCCAGGTGTTAGTTTGCCGGGATTTGATTGGTCGCAGGTTTGATCACTTGCTGACACATCAGTTAGAGAACCATTAGAAAACTAGAGGGCACTGCTTGATAGCTGTTTCGTCCTGTTTTGGGCTTCTTCAGTACTGCACACCCACCGTAGTTTGAACTTGAAAACTTCCGGTTACAAGTCAAACTCGCAGACCAATCAGCAACTCTGACCCTATCCTGGATCCTGGGTTCAAAACTCGATCGGTGTCCACCGATGAAGAGCCTTAAACTAGGACGAAACATCTATGCAGTACTCTCTGTTTCTTCTTGTTGTTGTTTTGTAACCACCAATGTTTTTCTTTTTGAATAAAATTTTTTAATGTTTTTTTTCTTCAATACACACAGCAAATATTTTGACTCCTTCCACTGGGACACATCGAAGTTCTAAGTATCCAACTAGATCATCTACACGAATGGATACTCTTGCTTCGCATAATTTAGCAAATCGTCGTTCAAATCCTGTTCCAATTCAAATTAGTGATATTAGTCCATCGAAAGTTAATAGTACCAACTGCGTTCAACACACTACGACGAGTACTATGACTAATACTACCACCAGTATTACTAGTACTCTGACTACTCCAACTTATTTATCCCCTTTTATAACATATGATTATATAAAAGCAAAACATTCACCAAGTATCTATCCTCCACCACCTTTGAGTATAGATGAATTAAATATATTATTGCATAAAATTGATGAACAAATTAAACTATGCATTAGTGCTTTAATTGAAGAAGAGGAAAAGCGTCGTTCCTATCGTATAGATGATGCTAGACGTGTACATAATTATGAACCATTTATACGTGCATTTCTTACAGCTTTAGCTAGACATGGATTGTTAAAAGATCAATTATTAACAGCTATGCAAATGAAAAGCTCAAATTCTAATCATACAACACAAGGCGGAGGATTAGTAGATAATTGTAAAAAGTCAAATGTAAAAAATACTTCTACTACTAATACTACTACTAATGCTACTACTGGTAATAGTAAACGACATATCATTATGAATAAATCTCATCCTGAACGTGTTTATGCATCATTTACAAATACTAGTTCATCAATTAAAACTAGATCTTTTCGTTCAAACTCCTCTTTAATAATGAATAGATTAACTACTCGTGTTAATTCTTCATCTACGAATAGCATGACGAATAACCTTCGTGTTCCACATCACTCACATCACCCTCATCATCATTATACCTCTTTAAATTATCGTAAATTACGTACAAGGAATAATAGAGAAAATCCTGTTCGGAATTTACGTTTACGACGTGGTCGATGTCCCATTGTCGATGAATCATCATCATCATCACCACAAGCCTCTACAACACAAGAAAAAGAAAAATCCGGTGATAATCGATTATTATTATTATCATCATCAAGTGAATCTTCTACAGTAATCGATAGTATAAATGATGATTTACTATGCAGTAGTAGTGGTATAACTACACGCTTAAAACAAAATGGTGGTACACGTCAAACATCAAGTCTATCTACAGGACAAAATAAAAATTCATGTGCAATACAAAATAATCCAAGTGAACAACAACAATCACAGTGTGATGAAGAAAACAACGAATCGATATCTGAAACTGTCTTCACTAGCTCCACTTCTAGTAATAATTTATGTACAGATAATTATCATCAGAAATCGTCTACTACTGCTCCTACCACTACAGTACTTAATGATGAAAACTCCATAGTTGAAGGTAATGTATTGTCTTCAACCTTATCGTCAGCAACATTAGCAACATCTTGTTCCTCGTGTGGTTCATCACCGCAATCATCGAATTCATCACGATCAACTAATCATCTATCTATTCCTTATTGTAGTAATAGTAGAAAGACAAGTCGTCAAATGATGAAAACAAATGATGGCAATACAACTACAAGTACTACTACTTCTACTACTACTAAGCGTTCATTACGTCCACGTGTTTCACGTGAACAAACCTCTTCTCAAAATGATATACATAATTCAACGGATTCAGTTAGTGTAACATCTGAAGAAACTGTAGATACAAATACAAGTGGAGCTGGTAGTGGTGTTGGGGGTGGCGGCGGTGGTATAACATTAAGGGATAGAACAGTGAAATCTTCTTCACGCACAAATAATAATAATAGTACAGATTTGATAAATGGTACTTCTACTGCCACTACTACTGCAACTACAGATACATCTAATTCATCAACTACTACTCAACGAATTCGTAAACGACGCCTTCTTTAATGGATATTTATAAGTTTCTCTACCACAATCATACTTTATATATCATCATTGTCTTTCTATATATATACATATACATATATACATAATTATGGATGGATACTTACTTTATCAGTCGGACAATTGTTGGAGTTGTTATTATTTTAATTATTGTAGTTCATATCTATCTATCCATCTATCAATTGGTTTGTTTGTTTTTTCTACACAAATTATATCTTCTTGTACACATGTATCAATGGTATCCCCCTATTATCCATCATCATCATCCCCCGTACTATCGATTGTAAAGTATCCTTCGCCTTTTTTATTATAACAACTGCAAAAGAGGAAAGTTTTCAACATATTATTATTATTATTAAGCATAGCTACTACTACTACTACTAACTAATAGAATTTTATTTCACCTAGGTTGTACACTCTTATTTCTCTTCTTTTCTTCAGCGCTTTTTACTTGTCTTGTTTTCATTTCTTGTCGTGTACACATAGATGAAGTGTTGCTGTTGCTTTGTTGTTGTTGTTGTTGTCTTCTTTGTTGAGATGGTAAGAAACCCAGTAAGCTTTCTTTTTTATTTATTCTTTCTTTTAAGAAGAAGATTCACTCTTTGCTTGTAATTTGTTGTTGGTTTGCCTTTCTTTTAAAATTTATCTAAGTACAGTGGAGAAAGAGGGAAAGTGGATATATATTTCTCGTGGATATTGTAATATATTACTATTATTATTATTACTTTTTAATTTCTCTTGACTCGATTCATCTTTAAGGGGGGGGGGGAGGGGGTGGTTAGTATACAATTAAGTGATGTATAAACCTGTGAATACGTCTGTTGTACAGTGAGTGAAGTATATCGTAGTTATAAGATGAACAGTGGTTATGCCAACATCCACTGCGAGTGTATTTCAGTTTATTCTTTGGTTTGTTTGTTCTCTTTTCATCTAATATCAATAAACATACAATAGTAGTAGTAGCAGTATTAGTAGTAGTAGTTAAAGCCTCTTTTGTGAACATATAGTGTACATATAGCTATTTATCTATCTATCCATCCACATCCATCCATCCATATAAATGCATTCATTCAATATATTCCATTTTTTTAATTTTCGTCTGCAACATTCATATTGTTGTAATTTTAGATTACTTGTGTAAAAATGCTCCTCTTCGCCTATATCCTCTCTTTTATTATTATTATTATTTTCTCTTCTTAAAAATTACTGCTGCAATAGGAAATTGGTGTTTCTTCCCCTCCTGCTCCACTTCTGCCCCCCTACCCAACACCTTGTTGTATATTCAATAATGGAGGATAAGTAATCTTTTCAAATTTCTCTTACGAGGGAAATTGGGTGTTTCTACAAAGTATAAGTGATTGAATGTGATAAACACTCCAATGGACGACCTGTTGTTGTTCTCTTTGCCTGCCTGCCTGCCCGCGTGCTTGTCTTTTTCAACAAGAAGGAAAAGAAAAACTAAGCCTTTTAATTTGATGTGTGTTTGTGTGTATGTGATGATCTTCTATCCATCTCATTTATCTATTGGATTTCTTTTGAGTCATCACATGTGGAAGTGTTTTCTTCTGAGTTTCCGCGTGCTCTCCCCACTGCCCACCCTACCCGTTTCTCTCTCTCTCCGTGTTTGTCTCTCTTTTATCTCTTCTTTTTACACATTGGATACAATATGTTCTATGAATTCACTACCTATGTAATAATGATAATTATAATAGTAATAGTAATAATAGTAGTACTAATCAAGTAATCGAATTGTATTCAGATTAGTAAAGAAAAGAGATCAAGTCGTTGCTTTTGTATTGTACTGTATTATCTTATACTTATCATTGTTATCATTATTATTAGTAGTAGCAGCAGCAGTAGTGGCACTACAATTACTGCTATTATCATTACTCTTGTGTTGTTATTTACCGATTATTACTGTTATTGTAATTACTGTTCTATCACTACAACACTACATAGTCCTAATTTCCTTTGTTTTTTTTTATCTAATTATATACACATATGTATATCTTTTGTTGAGAGTAGTGATCATATTATATATATATATATACATCATTATGGAACATTGGATTGTTCTTTTTGATTTTAGTGAGAATTCTGCCCCTCCCCCCACTGATTATCCTTATTGTACAAGCGGAATTTCCTGTCCATAAGCATATATTATATGTATGTGTATATGTGAAAAGGCTGACGAGGTTTTATGCATTCTCGTTACTGTTTCTTTGTTTTTCGTTTTTGTTTCATATTTTCTTTTTTTTCTCTCCTTCTTTTTATCAGAATTTTAAAAAGCAGCAAAAATTCAACTGTGTTTTGTTCTATTTTGTTTCGTTGTTGTTGTTGTTGCTGCCGCTGCTGCTGCTGTTATTTCGTTCATTATGCGATTGGGTATTATTAAGGGGAAAAAAAGACGAAGAAGAAGAAGGAATCCCAAACTAATTTGTTTAACGAATCAGTGTAGGAAAGAGAAAAGAGAGAATGTTTTCGATAGATTAGATACTGCAGTAGGGGAGAACAGGATTGTGACTTGGAGAGAGGGAATAGATAAATGAGATTACCAGTTGGCCTGATGTGTGATTCACATTTATCTTATTCCCTTTGCATCAAGATTGGAGCATAGGAGTTACATGCTGGAGCTTTGAAGTCTCAGTGGTAGTGGTGTTAGTCGTCGTTTTTAAAAAAAATTACAGGATGGGTTTGCTAGCCTCAGATCCAACCTTCCCTGCTGATCATTGTGCTTACTACGGGATAAGTGAGGTTTAGGAGTGAGTTAGGCAGGGATCGAACCCTGGACTACGCATGTGGTTGGTGAGTATTCTACTGATGCATCAATAACGTATAGTGATACAATATTGATAAGGTGGATGGTGTTTTGAGTACAGTTTATTGCTGGTTATATAATCAGTATCAATACATATATTCACACACAGCTTCATAATTTGCTTTATGCACATGTTTTCATTCACTCCCCCTCCTGGTATCGGCGTTGCATAATTTCAATTACCCGTGTTTGGTGTGTTGATTCGACAACTAACCTCTCTTTCTCTCTTCCCACTTAACAACATAATGTTTAAAAACTTTTCGCCTAATCCTACCGTTTGATGTGATTACATGCAAGCGAATCCATTGCAATGGTCGACCTTTTTCAAGATTATTTAACTTAGCAGGATTAGCTATTCAGGGTTTATCTAAATTCCTATGTTTTGATAATCTAATTGACTCCAATCTACTAGTTTGACTTGTGTAATTCACCTTACAGTCAGTACATCGTAGTGGGTAAATTATATTATTCTTTCCTAATAGGGTCTATCGGGTACCTTAAGCTGACAAAGTTTGTCTCGGAGTGAGTGGGTTGGTTGGTTGATTTAAATGCCATCCTAATCTCAGCCTTGTTAAGAAATTGTGTTCGAAGCATCACCGTCAGTTAGTAATACTGTTTTTGGATGTAGTTGTGTTCTCTGAGTTGGATGGTAATTTATTTGCGAAGCTTTCATTCTCCTACTAGGCAACATCTTCAGTGCATACTTCAATTTGAAGTGAGCTTTCATATTTCTCCACGAGTTTATTAGTCATCTCCCATGGTTTTGTGCGTTTTCACACCCTCTAGGCTACTTGTGTTGGTACTGATTATTTCCGTGACTTGAAGCTTGACCCTTTGTGTCAAGTCAAGGAAATAATCAGTACCAACACAAGTAGCCTAGAGGGTGTGAAAACGCACAAAACCATGGGAGATGACTAATAAACTCGTGGAGAAATATGAAAGCTCACTTCAAATTGAAGTATGCACTGAAGATGTTGCCTAGTAGGGCAATGAAAGCTTCGCAAATAAATTACCATCCAACTCAGAGAAGACAACTACATCAAAATCATCCACCTTGGCTACAAATCTTCTCCATCATATCTAATAATACTGTATCATTCTTTGTGTTTTATATATATATCAAATGTGGAATTACTTTCTACCACAAGGCGCAAATTCTACACTTACATAAATTATATCTTATAGTCCCAGCACGACTATTATGTCTTTTACACCAGTAAAGTTAGGATACAATGAACTACTACTTACAGAGCTGTACACACATCCTTTGACGAAAGATAGTCAAATGTACTGAAAGTTGGCGGATTTCAAATTAAGCCTTTTTATCCGTGCTGAGATGTCATTAAAAGCCAGTCTGTTATGGCTGATACAACTACCCAAATAGTGAGAGCTGTATTTCACTCCGTATCCTTAAACTAGTAGGAGTGAAATAGCAATAAAGTGTCGTAAATTGTGTAGTTTTTTTTGAGTTAGATAGGAATAATGTCAAGATAATACGGACTCCATAGATGGTTTTCTGACTTTGAATGTTATTTTCCTACTGCATTAATGGGATTGCTAACGTAGTTCTGTGGCTTTTGTTGCTATATATGGTGATAATGTGTTGATACTGCTGATTTGTGGGGTTGCATACTTATATTTTTTTTCCTTCACGTTCCCCAGTGGAACATAGGGCTTCAAGCTAGTGGCTTGAAGTTTCTGTAGCAGTGTTTATTTTACAGGACGGGGTTGCTAGCCTCATGCCCAACCTTTCCTCTTCACGAGCATTATTTCTGGCTCAGCGAGTTAAAGGAGTGCGTCTGTGGCCGGAGATCGAACCCCGGACCATGTGCATGGTCGGCAAGCGTCCTAACCGCTATACTACCGACGCACGTACTTATATTGACCGCTGATTATTTCTAACCTGCAGAATCGACACAAATAAAGATGGAAGACAGATTAATCCGTGTAATTTAGAACTATTTGATTTTATGATACAAAAGTACATTTTACACAAATATTTCGTACCTCGGAAAGTTAAACTGACAAATAGCCAATCGTATTGGTTGTACAAGGTCAGGCCTCTAGGTTTTCCAATCACATGGTAATAAATATCCTGTCCTGACTGGATGGTGAAATTTGTCCATTCAGTTTTAATCCTGTCTAAGCCTGTTTTAGCTGGTATGGGCCTGTTTTTACCTGGTTT